ATAGATATAGATATAGATATAGATATAGATATAGATATAGATATAGATATAGATATAGATATAGATATAGATATAGATATAGATATAGATATAGATATAGATATAGATATAGATATAGATATAGATATAGATATAGATATAGATATAGATATAGATATAGATATAGATATAGATATAGATATAGATATAGATATAGATATAGATATAGATATAGATATAGATATAGATATAGATATAGATATAGATATAGATATAGATATAGATATAGATATAGATATAGATATAGATATAGATATAGATATAGATATAGATATAGATATAGATATAGATATAGATATAGATATAGATATAGATATAGATATAGATATAGATATAGATATAGATATAGATATAGATATAGATATAGATATAGATATAGATATAGATATAGATATAGATATAGATATAGATATAGATATAGATATAGATATAGATATAGATATAGATATAGATATAGATATAGATATAGATATAGATATAGATATAGATATAGATATAGATATAGATATAGATATAGATATAGATATAGATATAGATATAGATATAGATATAGATATAGATATAGATATAGATATAGATATAGATATAGATATAGATATAGATATAGATATAGATATAGATATAGATATAGATATAGATATAGATATAGATATAGATATAGATATAGATATAGATATAGATATAGATATAGATATAGATATAGATATAGATATAGATATAGATATAGATATAGATATAGATATAGATATAGATATAGATATAGATATAGATATAGATATAGATATAGATATAGATATAGATAGATAGATAGATATAGATATAGATATAGATATAGATATAGATATATAGATATTTTGGGCATATTTATGCTCCGGACTAAGTTTCTACATTGACTGTGACCATTGTTCTTGATTAAGAATGAACTGCTCACCCTGGCGAGTGTGGCTCAGTTGGTTGAGCGTTGTCCTGTGCACCAGAAGGTCGCCAGTTTGATTAAGGGTCAGGGCATGTGCCTGTGTTGTGGGCTTGATCCCCAGTAGGGGGTGTGCAGGAGGCAGCCGATCAATGTTTCTCTTTCACATCGATGTTTCTTTCACTCTCTCTCTCTCCCTTTTCCCTCTATCTAAAATCAATAAAAACTTTTTTTTTTTTTTTTTAAAGAATGAACTGCTGGTTTAGCAGCTGGTGGTTCCATTCATCATGAGCATTTGGTGACCTTTAACGCTTGTATGACCTGTGGCAGAGAACTCATATCTGGGGGAGATTTGGGACCTGGCAGCAGTATGTGTAATTGCTAAGCTTCCTTCTTTTTAGCAAATATTTTGGTTAAAATGTTGAACTATCATAAGTCTAGATTTCCCCATCCATAGTTACTTTAGAACCTATGCAAATCATAACAGAGCTTGAATTTCTCCTTGATGCCATGACATGTTAGATGGCATTTTCTTATTCTCATAAAATAGAAATTGCAGGCATGATAGAAAATGGGGAGAGTAGAACCTAAAATACCAGAGATGGGCAAGTTGTCACAATATAAGAAAACCAGCGTTTTAGTTTCCTGATTTTTAGTTTCCCAACCTCCCCAATACCCCAAGGTACCTCCTGTGTGGAATGGTGTGAGGTCAGGTCTCTTTGGAAGGGACTAGAGGTCACACTCTTTCTGGCTATTGTTACTCATTGCTGTTGCAGATTGGACATTAGGAGAAATGAACTCTGACCCTAGCTTGTCACTGGGACAATACTGTGCAAGCTGCCAGGTTTCAGAGCTACCAAATCAGGTGTGCTGTGTGCCCTTTCACTTCAGAAATGGGTAAGGAAAGGTCTGTGATGGGTCTGAGATCCCACAGCACAGGCCCTGTAATGTAAAGAATCAAGAGCCATTTTTTCACACTTTGTAACCACCTGTGACCTTTGATATCTCTTTCATCTCTCCTACAGAACTTAGCAGAGTTTAGATCTATGACCTGTCTCCCATTGTTTCTACCTACGAATTTGGAACCATAATTGCAAACAGGGATGTAGAGTTGTCATGTGACTCACAGCTGTATAACTATGAAGGGGTGACACCAGCTCTTGTAGTATTTTTCTTTCTCCTGGAGCATGCCTGTTCTACTGGGTGCCGTTTGGCAAGTTACGCTACATTAGCCTGAAAAGGATGCTCTTCTTAATGGGAGCAACTCCAGAGTCTAGTGGGTAGTGTGCACGCAGCTCAGTGGCTTGGGCTTTCATGGACTGTTCTCATCTGTTCTAGCTCTGCTGTATGAGTTAAAGGTTCCTCGTTGGGACTTCCAGACAGGGAGGCAGTTACGCACATCCCCTCTCTATGACCGGCTGGACGCACAAGGAGCCAGGTGGATGGAAAAGCATGGATTCGAGAGGCCAAAGTACTTTGTGCCACCAGACAAGGGTAAAGAGGCACATTCTCATTTTTGTTCACTTTTTTGCTTTTGAGAATTAATATAACTTATTTTTAAATGTATATGGCTAGAATGTGTTCCTGGGAGAATAAATAATAAAAACCTAACTATACAGGAGACTCCCCAGTATAAATCTTCTCCTTTTGTTTTTCTGGTCTACAGACCTCCTGGCTTTGGAGCAGAGCAAGACTTTCTATAAGCCGGACTGGTTTGACATTGTGGAGTCTGAAGTCAAGTGCTGTAAGGAAGCTGTATGTGTCATTGACATGTCCTCTTTCACAAAGTTTGAAATAACAGTAAGTAATTGGAAACCAATATAACAGACTAGGAGACGGTGCCTCCTTTTTTCATCTGTCTCTTTAAAACTGATTCTGTAAGAAATCTGGTATATTTTAATATCGTATCTTTATTACATTTTTCTGAATTTTTAGCTCTTTGTTTCTGGTTTTTAATTTGCTTACAGAGGCCCATTTATCATTAGAATCAATAGCTAGCTTTCTCTGGTGCTTCCTACAGTGGCGTAAATCTGCAAATATTGTTGCAGGAGTCCTGGCTAACTGAATTTTCATAGCAAGTCATGTTGCTCATGAGTCCGTGTTACCAGCCAACTGTTCTTGTGCTCTCTCTGCTTTGTGTCTTAACTCTGCAGTCCACCGGAGATCAGGCATTAGAAATTCTGCAGTACCTCTTCTCCAATGACCTTGACGTACCCGTGGGCCACATCGTGCATACCGGCATGCTCAATGAGGGCGGAGGATATGAAAATGACTGCAGCATAGCGCGCCTGAACAAGCGCAGGTGAGGTCAGCTGCCGCGCTGACTCCCTCCGGCACTGGTCCCCGGGTACTGCGGCAGAGCAGAGCTCCCAGCTCCCCCAGGAAGGACAGAACACCTCACTACCTCATGGCCAGTCCATTAGCAGTATAGGACAAAAAATCACCTGAAAGAAAAAAACTCACCAGGTTATGCAAAACTCGATGTGAAAATTAGTTACCCTACTGGGAAGAGACGTCTTACCTTGCATTAGTAGGTCTGTATAGTGACAGAAGTCAGCCTTCGCTTGTCCTTACATGGTGTATCCTCAAGTTCCGTGCTCCTGGCCCTCTGGAGGCTAAGAGCTCGTTGGCCAGTATTCTACCCACTGCTTTGACACTAGCTCAGAACTTGATTGCTTCCCGATCCTCTTCTCTGCTGCCTGGTTTTGATTGCTTGTGGGTCTCACTTTCAGTTTCTTCATGATTTCTCCAACCGACCAGCAGGTCCACAGTTGGGCCTGGCTTAAGAAGCACATGCAGCTAGACAGCAACCTGCTCCTGGAGGACGTCACCTGGAAATACACAGGTACTTCTCTCCGGGTCCCCCAGGGGAGCTGATCCAGATTTGTCAGGAATAGAAGCGGAAGAGGCTCGCTGGTTATAGAAAATTGGTCTCTGATACTTCCTGTGGTTTTTTTAAAAAACATTTTATTGATCTTAGAGAGGGAGAGAGAGATAGAAACATCAATGATGAGAATCATTGATTGGCTGCCTCCTGCACGCCCCCTACTGGGGATCAAGCCCGCAACCCAGGCATGTGCCGTTGGCTGGAATCGAACCTGGGACCCTTCAGCCTGCAGGCCGACGCTCCATCCACTGAGCCAAACCAGCTAGGGCACTTCCTGTGTTTTTTAAGGAAAATGTGGAATGAGTTCTTCAGTTACTGTTTTGTTCACTATGTCCCCTGCAGCCAGCATGTTAGGAGTGTGAATATTTGTTGAGTGAATGAGTAAATAATTTTTATTTTCTCTTGTTTTCTAGAATAAGTAATTTTAAAGCATTTTTATATTTATTATCTAAGTATTATTTTCCTCAGAAATTTTCCTTAGCTTTTTTTTTAAATGAGTAAATAGTTTTTTTAAATATGTTTTTATTGATTTCAGCGTGAGGAAGGGAGAGGGAATCTTCGATCGGCTGCTTCTTGCATGCCCCCTACTGGGGATTGAGCCCGCAACCCAGGCACGTGCCCTAACTGGGAATTGAACCCTGACCTCCTGGTTTATAGGTCGATGCTCAACCACTGAGCCACACTGGCTGGGCAATGAGTAAATAATTTTTAAGGATGACTTAAATTTCCTGATGGTCTCAGTGGTTCAGTCAGGGGAGCAGCCCTCCTCTAATGCCATCCCACCATTCTAGGTGTAATTCCTCCCTCCCCCTACTTAACCTACTCCTGCCCTTCATTCCAGCAGGCCCTCTTTCTCAATTCATTGTAGCAGCAAATATTACAAACTCTTGCTACCAGATTGGCAAACTACAGAATCTTGTTGAACCAGAGTTGTTTTATGGCTGAATGAAGATAGTTAAAGTGTACTTAGCACAGGCTGCTGTCACAAACGGACAGATCCAGAGTGATCGGGCAGCTCTCCTCCTGGTCCTGATTTGGAATTGGGGCTTTTCCCATCACGTAGCCACACCGGGAAGATGAGGGGATTGGGAAGTATGCAGGAGAGTATGTCCAGCCGGGACTTGGTCTCACGGTCCCATCTGACTGCAAAGGAGGCTATGGAATGTTGCCTTCCTGTGTCCCTAGGAAGAGGAAACACTCCCGTTAGTTCTCCTGCCAGCAGTCAGTAGCTGCATTTAGCAGGCCTGTCGGGAGAGGTGTATCTGTCAGAATCAGGTGCACCTTGCATCGCCTAAACTAAGGGATGTTCTTGTGGTCTTGCCAGCCAGGCCTGGTTATAGGTGAGCAAGTCCACAACAGACCTTTCCCATTGGCTCAGCTGTTTACCTGGAGCGGCCAGACATCGCTTGTTCTTTTCTGTTTAGCCCTCAACCTGATTGGTCCTCGAGCTGTGGATGTGCTGTCCGAGTTGTCCTATGCCCCAATAACTCCAGACCACTTCCCAAGCCTCTTCTGCAAGGTGGGTGCCAGTAAGGTTCTAGTGTTTGAATGGGCAGGGAATACCATTTTAAGAGATGGCAATTGCATGTTCTTACTCTGGCAGTAACACCCACAAAATGTGCTGACTTATTAATAAAGTGACAGAATAAATTCTTTATTTTTCACCCTTCACGTTCTCCTTATTTAATAAGCATTAGGATATATTTGAAGTGGATTTAACTTCTCTGAGTATCAGTTCTATATATTTATTGCTTTCTATAACAGCAGATTCTACATTATAGGATATAAAACGCCGGTCAGGGTTAGGTCCCTTCTCTCCAGTAGCTCTTCCTCTCTCCCATGCCCAGAGGCAGAGCAGCTTCTGTGTATGTGGCATCTTCAGGTAATAAATGGTGTAGGTCAGTGGTCGGCAAACTGCGGCTCGCGAGCCACATGCGGCTCTTTGGCCCCTTGAGTATGGCTCTTCCACAAAATACCACGTCCAGGCGCGCATGTACAGTGCGATTGAAACTTCGTGGCCCATGCACAGAAGTCGGTATTTTGTGGAAGAGCCACACTCAAGGGGCCAAGGAGCCGCATGTGGCTGGCGAGCTGCAGTTTGCCGACCACTGGTGTAGGTGAATCCCTAAACAGCTTACGTAAGATTCTTTCTTATACTTGGCAACTATAGCTCAGTGAAACAAATTGTAACTGAATAAAAGAAATAACTGCGTACTCTCGAAGTGGTTGATTTGCAGTCCAAATGGAGAGATGTTTTTGTCAACCTGTAACAAGCAGCTTGGGGACAGTTATTGAAGGAGGCTCTTTGATATTCAAACCAAAATTGGGATCCACCTACTAATTGATTTTAGTTTTCCTTTTCCTCCATGGCAGAGTGAAAGCCACAAAAAACTCACTGTTAGCCATTACTAACTCCTTCACAGTGTCTTTGCTTCTTTTTAAAATTTTTATTGATTTCAGAGAGGGAGGAGAGGGAGGGATAGAAACATCAATGATGAGAATCACTGATCAGCTGCCTTCTGCATGCCCCACACTGGGGATTGAGCCAGCAACCCTGGCATGTGCCCTTGACCGGAATTGAACCCAGGACCCTTCAGTCTGCAGGCCAACGCTCTACCCACTGAGCCAAACCGGCTAGGGTTGTCTTTGCTTTTTTTTAAAAAATATATTTTATTGATTTTTTTTTACAGAGAGGGAGAAGGATAGAGAGTTAGAAACATCGATGAGAGAGAAACATCGATCAGCTGCCTCCTGCATACCCCCCACTGGGGATGTGCCCAAAACCAAGGCACATGCCCTTGACTGGAACCGAACCCGGGACCCCTCAGTCCGCAGGCCGACACTACATCCACTGAGCAAAACCAGTCAGGGCATGTCTTTGCTTCTTAATGAGTGATCCATCCGTGTGTGCCTGCAGAGCACCATGTGATGCCCGACTTCCTGTGGAAAGTTTGCTTTAGTGCCACCTGGGACTTAGCACTTTCCTTCACAGGAACAGGAATTGAGACAGGTAACGGAGCTGCTGTGAACACGTTTTGAACATCAGACCCCAGGATAACAGGTGAACCTTGTTCTCTGGGCACCAGACATCATCCTTTGTGGGCAGGTACCTAGGACTGTCTTCCGAGTGCCCCGGAGGAGACTTCGTCTGGTCTTCATTGCTCCCTATGCACCTAAAACAAATCTTTAGCTGGACTTTGCAAAAAGTAATGTTTCCTGTTTGTCAAGACTTTGCCTCCACTTCCATCAGCAGCTTGGCTAGCACTCCTGATATTGGTGATATTCAAAGAAAAGACATTGTAAAGGCTTTGTTCCATCCCTAATGACCGAGAGACCTGAAAGCGGATCATTTTGAGGATGGAAGTCTTTCATTCACGTGTCTCTTTTAGGGTCAAAGGGTGCAGAGCTAAGGAGAGGGGTTTGCCTCAGACACCATCCACTTCCCTTGGAGTTTTGACGCTGACTATCTCCCTTTGTTTCCACAGGAGATGAGTGTGGGCTATGCCAACGGGATTCGGGTGATGAGCATGACTCACACGGGAGAGCCGGGCTTCATGCTTTACATCCCCATAGAGGTGAGAAGCAGGAAGGTGTGCTGGTGTCCCACACCTGCTGAGCACTGGCAGGGGTAGAGTCTGTTGTGCCTGGTAATTGAAGAGGCTGCGTTAAAGACATTTTAGCATGTTTAACTAAGGTATTTACTTTTTTTAAAAATAGATATGTTCACATGGTTTAAAAAAACCCCCAAGTATTCAGTTCCATTTGACCAGTTTCTATGTGATCTTAGTTTTTTGTCATGTCAGAAATTTTTGTAAATATGGAAGTTCAAAGACATATTTTTAACCCTCTTTAGACCCACAGAAGCATACTGTTCATCTTTTTTTTTTTTAAATACATATATTTTTTATTGATTTCAGAGAGGAAGGGAGAGAGTTAGAAACATCAATGATGAGAATCATCTATCGGCTGCCTCCCGCGTGCCCCACATTGGGGATCCAGGCCACAACCCGGGCATGTGCCCTGACTGGGAATCGAACCGTGACCTCCTGGTTCACAGGTGGACGCTCAACCACCGAGGCACGCCAGCTGGGCGTTCATTTTGTATTTCTTAACAATTTATCTTAGAGATCTTTTTCCTATGAGTACTTAGAGAGAAAGAACTTCCTCTTTCTTTTTTCCTTTCTTTTTTTATAGTGGCATATTATTCCATCATAATTTATTTAACCAGCCTGGTACTAATAGACATTTATGGTGTTTCTAATCCTTTACTATTATGAAAATTCGGCAGTGTGCAAGAGTGTACTAACACATGGAGGTGCCAAACTCTAGGCTGATAGGTGCAAAACAGTTGGTCAGTGCAGCTTTAGTTTCCCTTGTGAGAGGCTGATTGTGTGGGGCAGGGAGGAGAGCTCTGCTTCCCTGACTCCTTCCTCTGCGACTCACTCTGGATCTCTACGAGATGCTGTCATCTGTGAAAAATCACGTTATGGGCACACGTTAGAGTGACGTGTACCACGTTTCATAGCATGGGCCAGTGCATAGGGAATTGGGGCAGGGAACAAAGCCAGCAGAGGGTGAGCGGGCTATTTGAGCAGCAGCTGAGCTTAGTCATTACTGGGTGCTGAGTGCTGCTATGAGTTATCTAATAATTGCTATATTCTAGTCAGTACTTAGGTTAGTCTCCTAGACATTTTAGAGACATGAAAAGACATGGATGCTGCTTTCATGGAGCTTATGTCTGAGGTAGGGGTGACCCTGGCATACTCCTGGGCACTTTGGTTTGTTGATGAGGCGTCCTGAGAATTTTATACAAACCTCCCCATCCAGATTAATAGTGTCAGCCATCAGGCACGCCAGACACACTCCAGGTTGAAATCTGAAGGTCTGCTGCTTACCACCCTTTCATCTTTCCCTCTAGTATGCCCTACATGTCTACAATGAAGTGATGAGTGTGGGGCAGAAATACGGGATCCGGAATGCTGGGTATTATGCTCTTCGTAGTCTCCGAATTGAGAAGTTTTTTGCCTTCTGGGGTCAGGATCTGAATACCCTCACCACCCCCCTGGAATGTGGACGAGAGTCTCGGGTGAAATTCGAGAAGGTACTGTGTCCGTGCGCACTCCTGTCACTCACCTGCCCGTGCAGGGCATCTGTGTTAGAGCAGGAAGCGGGCTGATGTGGAAGGAAAGGGTGGAAGTGCTGAGACCTCGATGATAGCGTCAGGTGAACAGTGATGATTAGGATGACCTTAGAATGATTAGTGTGTCTATGGGATAAAACATCTTAATAGGAGAACAAGAAACCGCCAGCACCTGTTTTCAGCACTTTGCTCTCTTTTAGACTGAGTGCTTTCTGGGGAAGTTTTTCTGAGTAGAATGTAGTTGTACATGAACATGCCATGATTATTTGTACAAATTAGTTACCTTCCATTCAACTGCCTAATTTTTAGTTTCTTTTCCAAGTAATACATGAACATGATGTTTTTAAAAAGTCATAACTGAAGAGCATGTAGTGTGACTTCTCTACCTCTGAACCCCACCTGTCTCACTGCCACCTTTGCCAGGAGCAGTTTCTTGTCTCTCCTTTAGAATTTCAGTGTGTTGTGAACCAATGAGTGTTTATTGACGAGAGCAAAAATATACTTAGGAAGGTGAGACAAAGGCATAGAAGTAACAGGAGCCTGGGCTGCCTTAGCTCACTGGGAAATCGGAGAACAGGGAGCCTTAGCCCAGGATGAGCTGCCGCTGCCTATTGCTCCCTTGGTTGCAAGTCTTGTGGAGTCCCTTAGAGGTCGGGATGGCACGGGTGTGCTCTCCTCACCACTTTTTCCCTTCTGTTTTTTTAATTCTCACCCGAGGATATTTTTCCATTGGTTTTTTTTAGAGTGGAAGAGAGAGGGAAAGACAGAGAGAAACATCGATGTGAGAGAAGCACATCGATTGGTTGCCTCCTGCACAAACCCTGACCAGGGCCTGGGACTGGGCCAGGAAGGAACCTGCAACTGAGGTAGACCTTGACCACCAGAATCAAACCCAGGACTCTTAGGTCCAAGGGCTGATACTCTATCCACTGAGCAAAACTGGCTAGGGCCCCTGGCCACTCTTTTTAACCTAGATGGTTGGATACTACATCCTTGCTATATTATTACTATTTTTTAAATATATTTTATTGATTTTTTTACAGAGAGGAAGGGAGAGGGATAGAGAGTTAGAAACATTGATGAGAGAGAAACATCCATTAGCTGCCTCCCACACACCTCCTACTGGGGATGTGCCCGCAACCAAGGTACATGCCCTTGACTGGAATTGAACCTGGGACCCTTCAGTCTGCAGGCTGACGCTCTATCCATTGAGCCAAACCGGCCAGGGCTTTGCTATATTATTTTAACAATCATTCCCTACCAGTATAGATCTACAGTATTCTTTTTGAGAAATTATAGATAACAATTTTTCTGATATAAAAGTAATGAATATTCATTTTGGAAAATAAAATATGTCAAGAAAACTAAAGTGATTCATACTTTATTGAGTTTTTATCCTGCTCTTGTTTTTGTATATATGCATATATAAACATGTATGCATTGCATACAGACATATATGCATGGACTTTTTGTTGGGATTATATAAAAATGCAGTTTTTCTAAAATATTCTAGCAAGTGGTTTTTGAATATTGATTTTTCTTCCTAAATATTTTGTTCTATTTGGTCTTGTTATTGAAATCCCTGTTTATAAAATAGAAAAAAAATATGGGTACCTGTGTTACAAACATCCTCTGAAGGCATCTCTTATGTTGTGAATGCAGTTTTTCACATGTGGACAAACGCAATGTCCCCAAAGCCTGCTCTGGGGTGGGGGGAGCGCTGCACTCCACACAGTGACACAGGGGACCCACCCACTGTGCTGCTCGTGAGGATGACTCAGTGTTGCCTTTCTTCCCCAGGGGGTGGATTTCATTGGTCGAGATGCCCTGCTGCAGCAGAGGCAGAACGGGGTGTACAAACGCCTGGCTATGTTCGTCCTGGACGACCACGACACAGACCTGGACCTCTGGCCTTGGTGGGGAGAGCCCATTTACCGAAACGGGCTGTACGCTGGCAAGACCACCAGCAGTGCCTATAGCTACACCCTGGAGCGCCACGTTTGCCTGGGCTTCGTGCACAATTTCTCCGAGGACACTGGGGAAGAGCAGGTGGTAACGGCAGATTTCATCAACCGGGGAGAGTATGAGATTGACATCGCGGGACAGCGGTTCCAGGCCAAGGCCCGGCTCTACCCGGTCGCCTCCCTCTACACCCATAAGCGCCGAAAGGAAGACGTGGAGCTAAGTGACTTGCATGGGAAGTAATGCCAGGCAGTCTTACCGTCTTAGGAGCCTCTGTCCTGATCCTGTCCCTCTTCTCGATTTAACCTTTACCTTCCATTTCTTATCTCCTTGGTATCATTTTAAACTTTTTGCTTTGCAGCCTCTCTTGTCCTTTCATCTCCTCACACTCAGTCTGAGCTGTTTGTCCCATCCGTCCACCCGTCTCAGATTCCCATGGGGACAGGAGCAAGCCCCACTTGTAGAAGTGTGTGTGGTGGCAGTCGGATGTCACATGCTGTGTTGGGAAGCCAGGGAAGCTGGTGGTGTGCAGGCAGGAGTCCATCTCCGTGGGCCAGGTGTTCTCAGAGCCGCCTGCTGACGGTGATGAGTTGCTGTGTGCTTGTTAGGGCCCTGAGGCAGTTGTGCCTTCAGCCAGGCAGCTGCGTTCCTGTTCCACTGTGCTGTGGGCTGGCACCATGATACCTCGAGCAAGATGACCATCTACCTCACTGACGAGAGGCATCGGGTGGGCTGCAGAGATAAAGTCAAGCTGACATTATTCCCAGTCTCCCTAACAACTAGTTCTCGACCAGAGGACCAGGGACACCTGCCTATAATTTTCTTCATCGCTTGTTAATCTCTGTAATGAGGGGCTTTGCTTGTTTGGTTGAGTAAACAAGTGAGCCACAGTATTTGAAAGGGGAAAACCATGTTGCTTTTTTCAGATGAAAGGAAAGGGTCTTAACCTCAGAAAGTACCAACACCAAACAGTGCTGCTTTCTCTTCCTGTCCCTTCGGTGGTAGGCTCACTAGCTCAGCAAATATTTCTTCCCTTTAGGAAGAGGGAGGGGAAGGTAGGGCAGCACACATACTGAGTTCAAGAGGACTAGACTGCCAAGTTCTGCTTCCTCGGGCAGGACAGATCCACAGCTGACCCACGTGGGTTCTGAGCGAAGAGGGTGTCTGTTGTGTGAGCCTAGCAGACTGCTTTCCATCCTTGCTTTCCGTCTCGTCTGGAATAGAAAGTGACTGGAGTGCTTCCAAGAGGGTCACGCACAGTTCAGAAATGTCTTTCAAGGGTGAAAATTGAGTGACATCAGACTATACTATTCATCCCAACACTTAATTCTTAGTTTCCCCTGTCACCAAAGCTGATTTCTTAAAAGTATAAACTGTTGCTAGAGATGTAACTAATTAACTGCAGCCTTTGTTGTATTGACATCGTAGACACATTAGCTCTGCTAGGTCTGTAAGTCTAATAACGAAGGTGCTCCAGGTGCTAGCCTGCTCTGGCTGCTATTTACCCCCTTAATCAGACTGTCTGCCTCTAGGCATGTCTTGCCATTTCCCCAGCCAGTGCCCACCTTTTTAGGAGGTCTTAGTTGATTTGTTAAGGGAGCATGTGATTAGAATTGCTTGGCGGGCCTTGCTATTCTGGTGCAGATGTGTATGTAATGGCTGAGAGATGTTGCTCCTAGGCACAGAGGAGAAAGGAGAGGTGTGCCCCGTGGGAGAACAGGAGCTGTGCCAATGCAGGTAACCAGCAGGGAGCCGACTGGCCCAAGAAGATGGAAACAGGTGCTAGAGGGCTACAGGTATTACACGCTCTGCACCATTCCCGAATCACCTTTTCTAGTTACGCATAAATGTCTTCTTGTCCACAGCAGAGGGCGTCACTTGTTTATTGAGTGCCCTGCAGCACACATTAGTTTTGGGCACTTCAAAGTTTATCCCTGAAGTCTCTTTTTGTTCAGATACAGGCAGCGTGAATCTGGTAGTTTTCTCCATTTGGTCCTAAATCTGGAGGGGTTGACTGACTCCCACCTCTAGCATAAATGACAGTCTCAACACCTAATGTGTATGTCATTTCCATCTCTGGGGCAGTGAGGCCCCAAGTGTTTGTCTTGTGTGACCACTTACCTCTCTCTAGGGATTCGAGGGGTTCTGGACTCCTGTGACTGGGGGGATGGACTTTAAGATGGTTGGTACTTTCTTCTCTGAAAGGATCCATCATCACCTCTTGGGGAGCGGTGGGGGACGGGGGGCCTCTTCTATCTTGTCAGCATATTCAATTGAGGGAATCTTTTTTAACCTAAAAGCACAAGGTGTGTTAGCCTCAAGCAGATGAAGACCCAGGGGTTGCAAGTCTCCCGTGCGCCGCCTCCTCCCTTGATACACCTTCTAAGCCCCTCCTGCACGCATCTGTCCTGTTTCTTGCCACGGTCGTGGCCTTAAATTGAAGTGTGTTATTAGAAAGATTCCCATCTGTGATACTGTCACTGAAGTCAGAAAAGCGCTAATTAAGAAAGTTTTAAGAACAAAAAGTACCCACTTGGATAACCTGTTTGCTGCCCTTTAACTTGTGATGTAGTCTCATACCTGCATGTGCAGGACATGCTCCAGGAGGCACAGGGGAACAACTCCCACCACAGTGCTAGTGCTCTTCTGGGGAGTCCCTGTACCCCCAAACCTGAGCAATGCCATTCAGGCTAGGGCCAAAGGTCTTAGCCCAGTGATTAACCTGCTTCACTTTGGCCCAAAGATCCCATTTCTGCAGGCGTAGAGCAGTCACTAAGAGAGGACTCCCTGCCCTGATTTCTGACTCACGGACACTTGGGGCATCTGAGTGTCTTCACCACCTTTCAGAACCTGAGGCAGGTAAGAGGGACCCTTCTGCGACCTGTGGTCTTGGTTCTGACCTGGAAGGCTGTGCCCAGTAGGACAGCTCACTGGCCCGCTTTCAGGGGTAAGCTGCGAGGCTCACTTTTCTCTGTGGCTCCTTGCACAGGGTAGGCAGCAAGGATCCTCCCTAGTGTCTAAGGCAGAGGTTTGGTCAGCAGTGCTTAATGCTAAAGAATAACCTTCTGGGGTTTTCCCCCTATTACCTTCCCCCTCCTGTCCCTCACAAACTCTGATATAAGCAGCATTTTATCAACACAATATAGGGGAAATTTTCTTGTGAGGAAAGAATTTTCACCTCACACATCATTTCCAGGCACATGGGTTCAGGAGCAGCACACTTGAGTGGAAGAAATGGTAGGTGAAACAGTGTTTCCTGCATTAACTAGGACATCCAACTGTAAGTTGTGAGTAAGCTGTAGGTCTGCCAGTCAGCACCTCCCCCTGCCTCCACTGTAAGGTGCTGAGTTGTAAGGCTCCTTCATCGTCAGTGTGGGGCTCACACGCGCAGCCCCTCATCACTAACAAATGCACTATTTTACAAGAGAACTATTTTTGTATGTGTTGCCTTCTTTGTCCATTACACACCAGAGTTGTTTCTTCATAATATGATTCTTGACTTTTCTGAACAGTGTCCTTGGAGAATTACACATTTCTCATGGGCCATTTTTCTCATGATATTTAGATGCAGCTATTTTTATCCTTTGCAATCCTTCTGCCTCTTAAGTGCAAAAATTAGGGGAGGTGGGAAGGATGTTTTTAGCACCTGTTTCAAAAGATCTAAGCCAGGAATCCCTTTGCACACCAAGAACTGGGGCTTGGAGCACATCTTTTCTCCACGCCAGTTCTCGTGCCTTACACTCCAGAGTGTCCCGTGGTGGGTGGAGACAGGAGGGAGGCAAAGGTAACTCCATTTCAGGCTGAGGGTTCCTTCACCCGCTCACCTCTCCTTCCCCAGAGCAGGTGGGTGTGGGTAGAGGCTGCCCCAGCTCGTCTCAGCACACTCACACCTTCCTCTCCGGTCAACTCCCAGGATGTGTCAAAGCGCCACTGCAATGATTGTCAAGTGCATTAGCTCATTATCCGCACCTATAACTGTGCAGTCTGTCCCGCCCCTTTCTGTCCCTTTGTGTGTAGCGTTAGCATGTGGTCCTAAAGCCATTTGAGGAACTTAGGTAAACGGGATCTTCTCTCAAGGGCCCTGGTGACAGGCACAGGGTGACCGAGCCTTTCTGCCTCCATGAACACGGTATCAACGTTGTGCACTGTATTTCTATCAAGCCGGACTTCAATTAAGTTTTTCTTTTCATATTACCAGGTTTATAAATGAATAAAAAGACACTTTAATTACTCTTACCATGTCCATGAAATATTCATCTGTATGTGTTTGCCATCACAAAAGACAACATCACACATAAAACCGTTGATTCCTGTGTTGCCAAGTGTAAAACAGAATGTGGAAACCGAGGGGCAGTAGGTACAGGCGTTCTGTCCCCTCCCTGCAGAGCTGGCCTGGCTGGAGAGAGAAGCCTCCGTTCCTCCTGAAGTGACTGCCGGTCACTGGGCTCGACCTCCTGCCTTACAACTGACTTCACGCTAGAAGCCTGGCACTTGATGTGTCACTCACGTGCCTGTGAGCCCATGTTTATGTGGAAACAGCGTGTGTGCGTTCTTGGTCACACCCATGGAAAGAAAAGAAGATGATATGAGAGAAGCAGCCAGCGACCTTTTACTAGACTCAGCTACCATCAGAATGTAGTCACTGGACTTTATTTTTACTCTGTTTATCCAACTACTCTCTGAGGAACCGCATCTGGGAATCCACAGGTAAGGTAACAGGTCTGTAACAATTCATCTTATATTCTAAACCTCCTCCTTTAATGTCCAGTTTCATTATTGACCAACATTTTTTACAACACACAGAACATCCCACAGGCTAGGTGGCTGACTCCAAAAGAGGAGTTCCAGAAATAATTTGCAGTGACATTTCTGAAATGTCAGGAAAGCCTCCCAAACTGACTGCTTTGAGGGAGATACTTTTAAATTACATGTACCTCCTTCTTCTTAGTAAGGTATACAATACACTTCATCTAGTACGTTAACAAGTCATTCTAGGGAAAAAGAAGCCCAGCAAGCTGAGTGTGAGTGACAAAGACTTACCTTTCAGCTCCTCCACCAAACGAAAGGCCAGCAGAGTTCATTCCTGCCAGGACAAAGTAGCCCTTAACCAAAGGAGACTCACCCATGATGCACCTCATGTCTGGTGTGAAGGTCTCGGGGCAGTTGACCAACTTCATGATCTCCAATGTCTCCAGGTCTGGCATCCTACGCAGGAGGGAGCTCAACAGGGGCTCTGAGCAATAAAAACAGCCAAACAGAGTCCTCAGCTTCAGGGAATTCAAACCTTCCAACTCCTCATACTTTCTAACTCCTCCCTCTCCTTTCATAAAATCTTTTGGAAGAGGTTTTCTAAGAACAGCAATGGGGCCATTTATCAGAGAGCAGAGCCCTTGCTGGAATTAGGGAACACACCTATGAGGTGCTTGGCATGCAGACTGACAAAGAAGATGCTCTGGGAAGGAGAGGAGCTATGGAAGAGCAAACACGTTACAGATAAGGGTCTCGAAGGGCTCGGTGCTAAAGCTCTCACAGGGCGCCTGAGGGAGATGCAATGAAGGGCAGGTTCCCTGTGCTGGCATGGCTGCAAAGACAGATGCCCAACCTGTTTTAAGGTGAGTCCATCATCTGGGAGCAGGCCAGTGGGGCAGTGGTCACCAACGACACCAGACTGTGGAGCTGGCTGGTGGGTAAGTTTGATATTTCTCATAATAAAGTAGGTTTACAGTTGTGAGTATGTAAAACACAGAGTTTATTCTTATTTACTTATTTGAATTATAACTATAAATCTACTTTTGCCCACACCTGTATTTTAAAAATATATTAAAGATGGGAGGGAAACTCTTCATATAGACCCTTTCGCATCTTTTATATTTGTAAATGCACAAGTGCTTCCAGGGCCCGGACGGGGAAACCAGTCACCCAGAGGGAGGAGGAAGGAGGCCACCAATGCTCCACAGGAGGAGCAGTGCAGGTTTCCTCATTGGAGTGCTCCAGCCCACACAGGAAACAGTGCCCCCTGACATGGGTTCACTTTGTCCCTAAATAATCTTAAGTCTCTACACCAAAAGTCCCAGAGATAAAAGGTAAATAAGAAAACCAGAGATCCCGCTATTGTTGCTAACTTACCTGACCAGCACAATTGACAAAATACTGGCATTCGATCTGTCCTTTATCAGTCTCCACGCCAGTAACTTCACCTTTTTTGATCATCACGTGAATAACACTTGTCCGGTCATAGATCTGTACACCTGTTCAAGGTAAAGAGTTGGGCATCGATCCTCAGATGGTCCACAATTAAGGCAGCTGCAGCAGATTCTCAACTCATAAGAAATACTGAAAAGGCCAGGTCAAAGCTTTAATTTTAAAAAACAAAACACCCCTAAGGACCACACCCTGAGACTGTAAATGAGACTTTCCCCAGGTTAAAAATGGCAGGCAAATTTAATAAGAGACTTTAGTGCACAGTTCAATTCCAGGAATCATAAAAGGGGCAGGGGAGAAAAGTTCAAAGAGGACAGCTTACATCCTATCTACCCACATGATGAATCAGTTCATTCAAATTGCACAACTCCATGGACACTGAGGTGTCCTCCCTCGTTCACTCAAACCCGGGACATGATCCAAGCTGTGGATTAAATCCCCAAGGTGTGTAGTAACCTTGGAGCCTCTCAGTTCAGGAGGGGAAGGAGTCCCTGAAGTCTGAAGGGTACTAAGCACACTGAATGTCTAGTTGGAGAACTGAAAGTTCAGAGATTGGTATTTAGATATAGTATGTTTACCAGAGTAGTCCAATGACGTGTGGCTAACACAGCTTGAATTTCAGAAAAAGGTTCAGAAGTCATTTTCTTTTTTTTTTTTTAACAGTGTTTTTTTTTATATATATTTTTATTGATTTTTTACAGAGAGGAAGGGAGAGAGATAGAGAGTTAGGAAAA